TGTGGTCAGTGACAGGTGTGGCCGGACGCTCCTGTGACCTTCCCTGCTACCTCAGTCCTCGCACACCAGGTGACAGACCCAAGCTCATTCTCTGGTACAAACGAGGAACTCGCACCCCAGTCTTTAGGTGAGTACCTACACGCATGTCTATATAAGACAGTACCCATTGATTAAGGCTGTTTAAGGTTGATTAAGGCTGCTAGTGTGAAGAATTAGACACATACAATATATTTGTACATGTTTCGCCATCCAGTGGCTTTATTAATACAAATTCAAGGATACACTGGGAAGACTGTAGGATTATATACAAAAGACGAGGTAATCAGTCCCTCAGTCATGGAGATGTTGAAGAGTACCGTAGTTTTGAATAATCTCAAGCACAGGCATTAATTTGTACTAATAATGATGGCAAAACATCTACAAATAATGATACCCAGATGTTAGTTTAACGACAGATTACTAGTAGCAGAACCCTAGCTTAACGACCACCCTAATTATAAGACTTGTGTTGTAATTACTCCTCTTTCGTGAATAAAAAAACACTGTACCTCCTCTGTTCTCAATTAGGCCCAGTTTCGAAGGGCCATTTGAGGTCGATCATTCATTTTATGCTCCGGTAAAGCGGCCACTAATTGGATGCCTTGCTGATTATTGCTGACTCGTGTCGAGGGAACTTCAGCTTAATGTGGAAAAATTTCAGATCCACAAAAACACACAATTCACTTCTAAACTGAACTTTGCCTCTCTATACCACATAATACGACACTACATTTCGACATTACGACACTACAATTCCACCGTGAAAAGCCAAACTAGAGAAATTAAGCAACATTGCAATAAACTATATACTATATACTACAGATATGAAATCATTCACTGTGTAGTCCAGTCGATTCAATAACATTCAGTTGGCAACAGTAAACTCTCTGTACATCATTTGAGACGAGTCTTCTCTGTGCAATAATGAACTGTCAGCCGAGTTGCTTTGTTTCTCGTTTTTATTTATATTTTCGATTCTTTTTCCCTTCTCTTTTATTTATATCAAGTTAATGTTTAGCATTTGTTTACATCTCGTTCTTATAGCTGATTCTCTTTGATATTCTTACTGTGTTTGAATATGGAGTAAATTAACCGCGAAACTTTTCGTCTTCAGCCGCTGATATATATATATATATATATATGCCATGCCGAATAGGTAAAACTGGTCAATTAAGAACTCGTTTAGAATTATGTCCTTCAGAGAATTTTCTCTTAAACGTTTAAAGATATATATTTTTTTCTTATGCAGCATATGGGAATCTTTATTCAGGAAACGTTTCGCCACACAGTGGCTTCATCAGTCCAATACAAAGAGGAAGGCGTAAGGAGAGGAGGAGAATGAGGTAATCAGTCCCTCAACCTGGAGTCGATGTGTTCAGTCCATCAATCTTGTAGAATGTACAGCATAGGGCCGTAGACGTGGCTTATATACTGTAGTGAAGTGACGTGAAGCAGATGGAGGCGGGGTCATAGTGGTACCATCCACTAGTCGAAGTAGGTCTTCGTCCAAAGGTTGAACAAGTGTTGAAGAATTCTTTGTAACAAGACCCCATGATGCTGCAGTGTCTGACAGTTGTGATGAATGGTTTGAAAAACCGACAAGTTGAAGATTGAGACACTTATGCAGCATATGGGAATCTTTATTCAGGAAACGTTTCGCCACACAGTGGCTTCATCAGTCCAATACAAAGAGGAAGGCGTAAGGAGAGGAGGAGAATGAGGTAATCAGTCCCTCAACCTGGAGTCGACTAGTGGATGGTACCACTATGACCCCGCCTCCATCTGCTTCACGTCACCTCACTACAGTATATAAGCCACGTCTACGGCCCTATGCTGTACATTCTACAAGATTGATGGACTGAACACATCGACTCCAGGTTGAGGGACTGATTACCTCATTCTCCTCCTCTCCTTACGCCTTCCTCTTTGTATTGGACTGATGAAGCCACTGTGTGGCGAAACGTTTCCTGAATAAAGATTCCCATATGCTGCATAAGTGTCTCAATCTTCAACTTGTCGGTTTTTCAAACCATTCATCACACATATATTTTTTTCATTTATGTTAATGTAAAAATTAATAATTTTGTAACAGAAGAACCTTACAAAACTTACCTAACCTTTTTATAACAACCGCAATTTAATTTAGCCAAATTCAAAAATGTGTATTTTAAATAAGTTTACAATATATATAATTTAATAATAAACAAACACAATTAAATATATTTTTTCGTTAGGTTCAGAATGATTTTCGCGAAATTATTGCATACACAAATTTTCACTGCCTTTTTCGGCAAACAGAGCCTTGTTATTTAAGCCAAATTTTAATATATATATATATATATATATATATATATATATATATATATATATATATATATATATATATATATATATATAATGTATTAGTAATTGGTGTATGTGCACGAAAGGGGAAAGGTATTTTTTTAAAGAATAGCGGAGAGCATGTAATGTTTCTTTGCATAAGATAATAGTTGGGAGTGTATGGATTATTGGGGAATAAACCTGCTCAGAACCGAGGGTAAAGTGCACGGTAGAATTATTATTAAAATAGCAGAAAGTAGGAATAAGATAAACAAGGAGTATCGGCGTACGATAAGGGATGTATGCACCAAAAGTTTATATTGAGGCATTAACTTATTAAAGATAATGAAGTACGTGTCGTCTTTATTGATTTAGAAAAAGTATATGATGGTTGACAGGAGAATATAGTGGCAGACGCTGCGAATGTTTGGGTGAATGCACCATGATTATTTCATGTATTTATAGATGGGTTTGTAAAATAAGCGTGTGCTGAGGGTTTTGATGAGAGGTGTGAGACCAAGAGATAATGAATCTCATACGACGTGGGAGTTGTCACACTTGCTCTTTGCCGACGGCAGTGATTTTGGGAGATTATGAACTGAAGTTGAAAAGGATGCTGTAGCAGTTCTGGAGGACATGTAGATAGAAATTTAAAGAAAAGAAGCAAGCGATGAGAATAACAGAGTCGAGGCAATGAAAGACTGGTTAACAGATTGGAGTAATTAGAAAGTAATGTATCAAGGTATTTTGGAGTGGACATCTCGGCAGATATGCCCATAAAAGACATATTTAAACATTATATTAGAGCTAACCAATGCTCGAAGCGACATCTTGCGGCATCTGGTGTTGTCTCTCTTACGTTCATAATCACCCCAAGAGTTGTTAGATATTTTTAATATTTTATCACTTAATTTATTCTTCTCCTAGTTAAACCGCTTGAAGACCGCCAAGAAACCTTTTCTGAAACTTTTAAATCACACGAAAAGGCATGGGAAAATTTGTACTTGAAATCAGGAAATGAACCCAAGACTTATAATCAGACAAAATTACTAAAACTTTATAAATCCAGCAATCTTAGGGAATGAAATAGGGCTAAAATGTTTCAAGTGACACCACTCTGGTCTGGTCTCAGACCGAGCCGCGGGGGGCGTTGATCCCCGTAACCCTCTCCAGGTAAACTCGAAGGATACAAACTCTATTCTAGCGTATCACGGCAAATTATCTCAATTTAACAAGACAAATCTTCCAAAAAATGCTACCGATTCTTCCGTAACTTAAATAAGCTCTTATTATATGAATGATGTGACAGAAGATTCAGAAAGCTCTTTGAAGAAGAAAGGAGAATAAAATACGTCTGAAGTATACGGTAACATTCCTAACTGAGCACGCATATGAAGCGATTATAAAATGAATTCATTTGACTTGATACCTGTTTTAATCCTACGGCGAAGTTTGATATTAACACTTTATTAACAATACTAATACTTTATGCACTTCTTGCATAATGAACAAGAATTTTTAAAGTGTTTGAAAGTGATAAGCAAAGATTTTTTAATTTAGAATAATTAATAAAACGAAAATATAATAACAGTTTTGAGCTTAGATACGTAATATAATCCATGTTAATATAAAGCTCTCAGTATGATAAATATGAGTGTTTGTCAAGATTCAAAAGCGTGGAATTCTGGAGGAAGATACACGCTATTTTGTGGCGCAGAGGAAAGAGATGATCCAGACATCACTGCCTGAGCGCTTTAAGGTAGGAGGCCCCTTGATGCTGGCGAAAAGATCTTGATTCAAGAAATTGGAATTGATCTTCGATTCCTTATATTAAATCTGATTACTTCTCATTGCCAGGCGTTGAACGACAATAACATTAATAATAACAACAGTAATAATCATTGTATTAATACTGGCCTGGAGATATAGGATTCACTCGCCATGGTTCAAACTTCACACGTTCTGTGGTTTAATAATAATTATATTTTGGTTGTAAATAATCTATTTCATTCCTATAAATATAATGATTACTTATAGGCATATGTTAAACATAGGCATGTCATACATTGCAATTACATTAGTAATTATTCGAAGTATAGTCAGAGAGGCATATAATTATACTGCCACATAATTTAGGTTCACATGAATGCTAACACATTCTTATCAACCTCTTGCATTCATTCGCGTCTTTTAAAATAGTAAGCTAAATTTTAAAGATTTATTTTTCAAGTAACCGACCGTATCCCACCGTGGCAGGGTGACCTAAACAAGAAAACCGAAATTAAATTTTAAGGATATTTTATACAATTCGTAAAAACCGTAAAGTTGGAGCGTTTTGAATCAACTGTTGACCCTATTTGACTAAATATTTCTCAAGGGTAAGGCTTTGTAAATCTTGTTTATCACACAAGACGAGATCTTATTGTGTGGGTGAATGGTTGAAAAAAAATTTACTTAAAAAGAAAGTTTACTGATGGTGTTCTGTTGTTGAGGATAGAGAGAGCTAGTGTGTTTATCAGTTTGGCAGCTGGTGTTCTGTTTACCAGTGGTGAAGTTGATGCTGTGTTTATCATTGTGGCAGCTGGTGTTCTGTTTACCAGTGTGGCAGTTGATGTTGTGTATACCATTGTGGCAGCTGGTGTTGTGTTTACCATGGCGGTAGCTGCTCTAGTATTTATCATGGCTGAGGCTGATGATGTGTTTACAATGGCTGTCTCTGGTTTAGTGTTTACCATGATGGCTGTCGTCTTTTGTGTGTGTTATACT